CTGGCTCCGAGACCTCCCGCCGATGACCAAGAGCTAACTTCGCCATTTTCTCTGCAGGAATTGAATTCTATTATGAGCTTTTAGGGACTGATTTTTGCTTGCTCTGCTTTCCTTTAGCTAAGTCTCTATATATAGGGAGCTAAGAGTATATTATTGAGTGGAGAGCGGCGTAGGCAGAGAGAGAGAGAGAGAGGGATTCCTGCATAGTGATACCGGTGACTACAGATCCGGAGGGACATAAAATATTCATGTGAATCTGAACTGTACATGTTCCTTCCTAGAAATAATTAGGTGAAGTACACACCCCAACCACACACGAGGGCACACCCCCTCTCTTAGCTACAGTGTACGTAGCCTAATTTATATTTTTTTTTAAAAAAATCTAAAGTGAGCCTCGTGCACTGTAACTGAGAGAGGAGGTGTGCCCCAAGGTGTGGTTAGTGGTGTGTCTATAGTGCCACTCTTAGGTGAACCCCTTTAAATTAATGTTGTGTATTATTTCGGATTGCGAATTATTATTCTGAGTGTAATTCGTATATAAAATAGATACAGAAGACTCGGGGGGAGAAAACATCATGAATTTGGCGGCACTAGGAAACAAGCATGTCCATGAGTAAAAAGAGACCAATATCAATAAAGTTAACTAACAAAGAGCGCATTATGGTAAAAGTTCCCAACCCATGTCGCTCTCGGCTCTCCAGACAACTGTGTTGTAAATTTGGAGGGTTAATTAGTTATCATGAAAATGCCCCCGCCATTATAATTTGGCTAGCGGCGTACTTGTTTTCTCGCACTTTTTCACAAGAGAGGCACTAGAGGCACACTCTTCACCATACCTCCAACCACACCTCCCCTCCTGCTACAGTGCACCGGGGCCCACTTGAGATTTAAATTTAAATATCAAGTAGGCCCCGATGCACTGTAGCAGGAGGGGAGATGTGGTTGGAGGTGTGGTGGAGAGTGTGTCTCTATCATTTCTCTTTTCACAACTAAACAAATGCACGCTCCCATCTTTTTTTTAAGTTGTACATATTGTATAATAGGACAAGTGCTAACATCATGGCGCATTCGGATTCGAAAGTGGAGCCTTTGATTCGAGAATAGTTAGACCTCCTACTAACACTATTATATGCAATTATGCGCTCGCTGAATTATAAAACACCAAGATGGCAGCAAAGGCGAACGACTTCCACTAAAAATAATGCACTCTTTGAGATGTGAGAACATTTTCTTCTACTATTATATGCAATCAGCACAACGCTGAATTATAAAACACCATGATGACAGCGAAGGCGAGTGACCCTCCTCCCTCCAAAGTTTCTTACATGATGAGCTCTACGAGTTAGGGTACAATAATTCAACGTGACAGCTTATATCCTGAGCAATCCATCCTTCTGAATTGCGTCCCCATCTCCTCAGGTCAAATCTCTTTGAGCCAAGGCGTTGTCTTTGCATTTTATATCAAATGCACTACACAAAATAGTTTACAATAAAAGGAGCCTAATTAAAAAAAAAACAAGTACTTGATCTTTCTGCTTGAGATTGTTTTTAAAATAAGTAGGCAAGAAGGCCAACAAAAATATAATTAAACACAGATCAAACGCTGGCTTCTGACTTTTGTTTTGGAATAATAACAAGAAAAAAAGACTTGTTCAGAGAGATCATATTCAAATGAATCGATGTGGATATTTTTTCCCTTCTTCTTTTTCCTTGAAAACATACTTGGATAAATTACTGGAATAGATGTATGCTTCACATAGAACAGAACATGACCGATAAAAGTGCCAGAGCACAAACACTGATACAGCTGGAACACATAATAGTCAGATTAAAGGCTCGTGAAATATACAGACGTGGGTCCAGTTCTACCTTCAGTTCAATTATTTACTTGTTGCGCTGCAGATTCACAGACCTGAATCATCCAATGAATGGGCATAACCCCCTCAGGCTGATCAAATCCCTGTAAAAAAATGCATGAGATGGTCACAATAATAATAGCTCTTTAAATATTGAAATCTCGAAACTTTTAGTTAACAAAAAGAAAAAGGTATTATGCCATCTTCTTATAACAGTAAGCAACAACATTTTTTTTTTAAAAAATGTATACGGAAAAACAAGAAAGAAGAACTCAGATTTTTGTAGAGTGAAGGTTTACAGTAGGAAATGGTCATGGACTTATGTTCATGATCTACGAGTTTGGTATTTACATTGTGGCCGAATTTCTAGGGTCCATCAATCATGAAAGTTATTCTATGACTAATCACCATGATATAGAATTCGAAAATGATATCTCAACTGCATCTACCCACCAATAAATAAAGATATCCTCTGAAACCATGACAATCACATAATATACAACATAAGAAAACAAGTGTAGTTTCCTCCATCTCTCTCTATCAAAGGATGGCTCATAGAGAGATGAAATAACAAGGAGAGAGAACAATAATGGGTTTTATGTTTGTATCCATATAACTTCTCTAGACATACAAGTGCACTCAATGAGGCCTGCCTCAGTGATAAAGGAGGCATGTTTTTCAGGAAGCCCCAGTGTCAAGGTCAACTAGCAAAAAAAGAAAAAGAAAAGGGGATAAAAGGAAAAACACAGATATGTAAAGTATAGCCTCCTACAAGCCCAAGGTTTCCATTAATTTTTTGCTAATCAACCATTAAAAGTGCATTTTAAGAACCTAATCATACGCTGATTCAATTAGGGAGTTCAAACCAGGCATCAAAAGAATATGACAAACAACTTCCCAGTACTTTGGTTCTATGTTCTAGGTTTAGACCAGTAACAGTTTCTGCCATCATATTCAGCCCCCTTTGGATTTATTATTATTTTCTTCTTCTTTTTTCCCCCTCTTCATATCTACGATCAGGGCATCAGTTAAAGGTAACAGCAAAGGACCATGTAAGACTATACCTTGAAGTGTATTCTAATCTTGAGAAGAGCATTAAGGGTTTTGTGTAAGGATCTAGAAAGACATAACATATATTTGGCTCAGTTAAGTGATCTTTTGTAAATTTGAGGAACAATGGGATAAGGGTTTTGCAGCATAAAGGATTTGTATAAGGATCTAGCAGCATACTATGATGTCCACTTTGATCATATTAGTGGATGGTCTATCTGACTCTCCTGTGAACATAGGTGCACGGTGAACCATATTCATCCGTTATCCATCTTTGCAGTTCAATTCATTCATGCTTGTATGCCGTACCTTTCTATAAAATTTATCTCGAATTGGTTTTCATAAGGCAATATATAAATCTTCATCTGATTACTATTATAGCAATTAAAGAAACAGTACGTGGTGGTTGGATGTAAAATAATTAAACATATCTAGATTTAAATGAATTAGTTACGAAAGAAACCATTGATACAGAAGAGTAGGCAAGTAAGATACTTAGAACCTCATGTCACCGCATTCTACCATAGTAAGTAAATCTCTTTGTTGATATCTTTCTAAGCGATTGGATGTCTTAGGTACACGGTGGATGTCACTTTCTTTGCCTTTTTATCTTTTAAATTCTTTGTATGCCATTGTTACTATAAAGCGTTTCACCACCATGACATGCAATGGGATACACTAAAGCAGAGGTTTGATCCTAGATTTTGTGTATCTGAAATGCTTGGTTGCTACTTTAAGGCGTTCACTGTAAGTTCAGACATTAAAGGCATTCAGTATAAGTTCAGACACTTTGTTATGATAGTGGAGCCAACTTTCCTTAGTCTGAATTTGTTTTGTTTTCTGTAAAAGAAAAGAAGTATGATGAAGATAAACATTCAGCTTCACTGTCACCATGCTGAATAAAGCAATCCTTTTCAGGTTAGCTTTTCCACCAGTTAGAAACTATTATAATTTATATGTACATCGAGAACCTTATCACATACTAGTTTTATCATATTCTGCAACTTGAGTTAATAACCTGAGCAAATCTATTGTTTGATCAATGGCAAGAAATATGACTCGTTAAGTCGCCATTTACAATCACTTCTGGAATTGAGATAATTTAGGCAGAAGAGTTTCTAAAGTGATTATTTGGCAAGATCTTTGACCTATAAGATACATGGATTGTGTTGGATGTCATTAGATGTTTAGTTATTTAGGTATTTGGATAATTAGGCCAATAACCATACCCGTTTATGTAACCCTCCTGATCTCTATTTAAGAATAATAACTTTGTCTTTTCTATTTCTCTACAAAGCGTTTGAGTTGTTGTGACCTATGTCATTGCTACTCAAACATGACCCTGATTAGTGTAGATATAACTTTGCATATATCATTTGCTTAGGCATAACTTAAGTTGCAAAATGAAAATTGGAAAGAGTAACTCTTGCTATGAGGCAAAAACAATACAGAGCACCTTTTTTTCTTTTTTCTTTTTTTCTTTTTTTTTTTTTTGGTTGAGATAAATCTTAACCATGAAAATTTTAAGACCATGGGACACCTATCTGCTACATCTGTGAACAGGAGACGTAGGGGCCCACCCACGTAAACGCGTTCGTGAACGTGTTATTCGGAGACGTGGGGCCAACCCACGTGAACGTGTTATTCGTGAATGCGTTTTCTCGCTATAAATAGTTTTTTTTATTTCTAGGTTTTTTGGTGCACGGATGTTTGTTTTTTAATTGCGGCTGCAGTGTGCAAGGCAGAGGTAAAATTTTGCGGCTACAGGAGAAAAATTGGTGAAGTGGGCGGCTGCGGGAGAAAAGAGTTCTTTGGGTTTTGGCTGCGTGCAGAGAAGTAAAAGGGTATTGGCGGCTGTCCTTTTGAGAGAGGAATTGAGAGATAGTTTGAAGGTTTTATTTGTGAGATCTTGTGTGATTGTAAATCATATTTGTATTCTCTTTCTCTCTAGTAGTAGATCTCTCCCCTCCTTGCCCCGTGGACGTAGGCAATTTGCCGAACCACGTAAAATTGGTTGTCTCACTGTTTGTGTGATTTGTAATAGCTTAGTTAGGTTCCCTCAACAAGTTAGTCTAGAACTGATGAGAGAAAAAGTTGATATCCCAGTTTGTTGAGATATTTTATTTAAGGTTCTTGTTTCTTTAGTGAAACAGGAATTACTATTGCGACCTGACTCTCTTGTTGTGTTGTCGAAGTGCTGTAAAAATTTTTACTGTGCGCAATAAGTGGTATCAGAGCCTAGATTTCAGATTTAGGGTTTTGGAATTAGGTGGAGGAAGATTCTTGTGTGAAGCTTGGTTTTTGGAGTTCTAGGCTTCGGTGGAGATAGCATTAAGAGTTGCCGTTGGAGATTTTGCTTTCCTCGTGTGGACAGGAGATCTATTTGGAATCCGATCTGGGATTCAATTGGGTAATTCTTAATTTCTATCAAAATTTGATTCTTTCTCTATAACTTGGAGTTAGTTTGCAATGGGAGAAGGAGAAAGCAGCAAGTCAATGACGAGTACAGTTCAAGTTGGTTTCCAGAACACTAAAATTAATGTGGTGAAGTATGACGGTAAAATCAACTTTGGTTTGTGGATGAGCGACGTACAGGATGTGCTTAATGCTCAGAACTTGGAGGAGACCATCATAGTCCACGAGAGACCACCAAAATATGAAGAGGTGATAAGAAAAAAGATGAATAGGAACGCTTCTAGGGTGATCAGGTCCTATTTGGAACAGGAGCTGAAATATGATGTGATTGGGGTGACGTCTGCGATGAAGATGTGGGAAATTCTCAACAATAAGTACCTTACGAAGAGTGTTGAGAACAGGTTGTATTTGCTGCGTAGATTATTCAGATTCCAGATGTCCAAAGACACCTCGCTAGCGGTTTATGTGAACAACTATACGAAGTTGTTGTCGGACTTGGCGAATGTTGATGAGAAGATATCGGATGAGTATAAGGCTATTATTCTTTTGGACTCCTTACCGGATGAGGAATATGATACATTCGTACTTATTTTGTTGAACGAAAGATCTTCTATCACTTATAGTGAAGTAACTAACGCTTTGACGAACTATGATTTGAGGAGGAATGATAAGGAGACTTCCCACGCTCAGGCTTATTGAGGCGCGCGCCTCAATCGCGCCTCGTGAACGCCTGGGCCGCCCGCAGTACGCATCAACTTGATGCGCGTCAATATAAGGGGCGATTTGAGCTGGGTGATAAAATTTAAACGGGTTTCGGGTAAGAAGACCCGTTTATTTTTGCTTCTTACCTCTTTTCTCCGCTTAGGGTGGTCAGCTTGCGTTCGCGCCTGACCGCAGCTAGAAGCCGCAGCCGTCTTCTGCCGATCCAAGTCACGGTGACGTCAGTCGCCCCAAGCCAGACCCCCGCCTGACGCCCAGTCGCCGACCCCCCATGACGCAAGTTTCGCTCGACTCCGCATCTGCGGTGGTCCACTCGCGCCGTCACCGTCGAAGCAGGTATTTTTTCCAGTTTTTTTCGATCTTTTTTTCAGATCTCTTTTCTTGCTCTCTTCTCTTGTTTTCTTTTTTGTTTTTATGTTTTTTCTCCAGTTTAAACGGGTTTCTCCAGTTTAAACGGGTCTCTTTTCTTGATCTTTTTTAAAGCAGGTACCTTTTGTTTTTTGTTTTTTTCTTGTAATCATTCATTCATCCCTTTTTTTTCATAATGGTTTTTTTAAAAAATTTCTTAACAGTTAATTGCATAATTGTTAATTGTTAATTGCATAATTGTTAATTGCATAAAATTAATTCCTTAACTGTTAATTGCATAATTGTTATTTGAGAATTATTTTTCTGTTTTTTTCTTTAATTTTTCTTATTTTTGTCAGTTTTTTCCCTTTAATTGTTTTTCTTTGAGAATTAATTTCTTTCTTTTTCTGCTGTTCAATTAACTGCTGCATGTCCAATTAATTGTTGATGTTCAATACTTCAATTAACTGTTATATATACATTTACATATGAAGATCTCATTAGAAAATAGGAATACAAATATACAATATGAATATACAAATTACATATTCAATGAATGAATTATGGATATTTATTTTGGTAGCTGTGTTGGAAAATTTGATTGATTCTTCATGCTTGCTCGTTGCTACTTAACTCAAGTATAATCTGTAAAAAAAACAAAGTCAATGAGCAACAACAACTTAGTAATTAGTATAATTAGAAAATAGAGCTTAAAATAGGTAATTAGCATGCTAACTAATAAATTATGAACGTGTAAATATTTAATTATTAATCACTTATTTGTTACTTAAAAAACATATTTCATTTTTAATTAAAACACATATTTCTTGTATCTTATTTGTTACTTTAAAATTTTAGTTAGCATAATTTGATGATTTAAGTTAATATTCTCATAATTTTGGGTGTAGGTGACTAATAAACTTGAGTATGTCTTCATTGGCATCGGCGAGTGCGAATAAAGGTAGAAGACAAGATCCGACTTGGAAGTACACTTCTCTAGTTGAGGAAGGGAATTCCAACAAGCACAAGTGTATTTATTGTAATAAGATCACCAATGGTGGCATATCAAGGCAAAAGGAGCATCTTATTGGAACGACGAGGAAACGTAAAAATGTTTCCCTTTGCAATAAAGTTCCTTCGAATGTGGTTGATGAGCTTAAAGAATATGACAAAAAACAAGCAATTATTAGAAGACAACAAGCAGTGGAAAATTACATGCAGGATCTTGAAGATGATGACATGGTTGAAATAGATGAAGTTGACGAGGTTGAAGAACAAGCACAAGCAACTAGGAACAAGGGAAATGAGCAATTGACTTCTACTTCTAAATCATCTTCCTTATCTACAAGAGGAAGGGGAAGTGTGGGATCTTCAACAAAGAGGAAGGGGCCTATAGATTCATTTCTCTCATTTGACCCGGAACTGGATGTAGCCAAAGATGATAGAAGGCGAAAATTGCGGCAAACAAGCATTAAAGAAGGCCTCAACAAAGATGTAGTTGCTAAAGGGCATCAAGATATTGCCCGTTGGTGGTATCAAGCGGGAATTCCTTTTAATGTCGTACAACTTAGGTCCTTTAGAATTATGTTGAAGTCAGTGGGGGCTTTTGGGCCTAACTTGCCACCTCTAACATTCCATCAATTACGAGAGTCATTGCTTAAGAAGGAGAAGTACACTGAAGATCTCATGCAACCTCATAAGGAGGTTTGGGCCAAAAAAGGATGCTCTTTTATGTCATAAGGAGGTTTGGGCCAAAAAAGGATGCTCTTTTATGTCGGATGGTTGGACTGATCGGAAGGAAAGGGCTTTGATAAATTTTCTTGTGAACTCTCCTCACGGAACAGTATTTCTTTCCTCTATTGATGCTTCCGATGAGATCAAGACTGGTGCGAGGATGTTTGAGATCTTAAATGAGGAGATTAAGAAGATAGGGCTAGAGAATGTTGTGCAAATTGTGACGGATAATCATGTTAGTCTCAAATTAGCCGGTATGGAATTTTAGATTTGATTTAATTTATTTGATATTGATTGATGTGCTTTCTAATTTCTTTAAAATTGAATGATTGAATACTAATGAGATGTTTGTTTATTGGTTCTAGGTAAATACTTGATGGATGAATATCCTCATGTGTACTGGACACCGTGTGCTGCTCATTGTCTCAATCTCATACTTAAGGATATCGGAAAACTACCATTCGTGAAGATGACCTTGAGTCATGCTATGGAGTTGACGGGTTTCATTTATTCACATGGTTGGGTTTTGAGGTTTATGAGAGATCAAATCAATGCTCGAGAGCTTCTTAGACCGGCGGCAACGCGGTTTGCCACTTCATTTTTGACTTTATCAAGCATCTATAAGCAGAAGAATAATCCAAGGAAGATATTTTGCTCCGAAAAGTGGGTGGAAAGCAAGTGGGCAAGAGATCCAAAGGGCAAAGAGACGGAGAAGACAGTTAAAATGACTAACTTTTGGAATAATGTTGTTCGTGTTCTCAAGCTCATGGGTCCTCTTGTTCGTGTTTTGAAGCTTGTTGATAACGAGAGGAAGTCGGCCATGGGGTTTATTTATGAGGCTATGGATAGAGCCAAAGATGAAGCTTGTTGATAACGAGAGGAAGTCGGCCATGGGGTTTATTTATGAGGCTATGGATAGAGCCAAAGAGGCTATTGCAAAAGCCTTTGGTGATGATGCAAGCAAATATTCGGAGGTATTTGAGATGATTGATAAGAGATGGAATGTTCAGTTACATCATCCTTTGCATGCTGCAGGGTTTTACCTTAATCCAATTTTTTTTCTATGCCCACCCTAACCTTCAAGCCGATAAGGAGATCATGAAAGGCCTCTGGGAAGTCATTCAAAAGCTTGTGCCCCAACAGGATCAAGATAAAATTTCTTAAGAGTTGACTTTATACAAAGAAGCACAGGATCTGTTTGGCATGCCTATAGCTATTAGAAACCGAGAAAAGAAATCTCTAGGTAAAATATATCAATTAATTATGTACACATTTTTTAGTTAAATAAATTAATAACATATTATATACTCGTATTGATTACTTTGTGTATTTTGACAGCTGATTGGTGGGATTCTTACGGTGCAGCAGCTTCGGTTTTGCAGAAACTTGCTATAAGAATCCTTAGTCTCACTTGTAGCTCCTCTAGGTGTGAAAGAAACTGGAGTACTTTTGAACAAGTATGTTTAATTTCATCTAATTGAATAAACATATGCTTAAAGAATTAAGGATTTCGAGTACGAATTTGATTATTTGACTTTATATGTGTTGCAGATACACACCAAGAAGAGGAATATGTTGGATCACAATAGGTTGCAGGATCTAGTATATTGCAAATATAATCAAGCTTTAAAGGAAAGATTTGACTGCAAGGATATTGTTGATCCAATCAAGTTGACTGACATAGATGAAAGCAACGAGTGGTTGTTAGGTCAATTTGGAGAGGGCAACAATGCGGAAAATGACTTGGTGGATGAGGAGGATGACCTTAGATGGGGTGTTGTAGGTAAAGCAACGGGAGTTGAAGAAAATTAGGGACCTACTTTAAGGTCTACTGCTACTGCTAGGGTTCGAGGATCTTCAAGTGGTATTGCTTCGTCATCTAGGAGGAGTGAGCTGGACTCGGAGGATGAAGATAAGTTTAATGAAGAAGAGGAGGAAACTGAGGATGAGGAGATTCCACTTCAGTTGGATGACGATGATGATGAGGATGACTAAAAACTTTGTTATTTTGCTATTTGCTTATTTTATTTCGTAGACTTTTGCTCATGTTGGATATTATCTTACATTGTGATTTGTGGAAACATATGAACTTCTTTATGTTATGCATGCTAATTAAGACTCTTTCTCGATTTAGTATGTGAAATTATATTTCTTAGTCTTTTTATGTGATAATTTATAAAAATGTTGTTTATATGCTTCTTTGTCTTATGTTGGAAAATATTAGTTTGGGTTATGCGCCTCAGTTAAGTGAGGCGCGCGCCTCGTTGTGCGCCTTGCGCATGGTGCGCGTAAGGGACCTTTGCGCCCCGCATTGCGCCTTCCGCCTCGATAACACTACCCACGCTAGTACTTCAGGAGAGGTCTTGTCGACGAGAGGTAGAAGCCCATATCCGAAATGTAGTAATAGAGAGAGATCAAAGTCAAGAAGCCGCCACCAGTTAGCAAAAAACTAATGTGTATTCTGCAAAGAGCAGGGACATTAAAAGAGAGACTGTCTGAAGCTCAAGGAGAAGGAGAATAGCAAGATAAAAGGCCCGAAGGCTAATGAGATGAATGTTGCAAAAGACGATGATTCCGATGATTCGAGCTTTTCTCTACTGATTACTCCGGAGGTGAACCACTTGGATGCATCAGATTTAATACTTGATTCTGACGCTACCTATCATGTGACCCCTTGGCGAGACTGGTTTGTATCTTTTGAGAAGCTCGATGGGGGAGTTGTAGTCATGGGAAATGATCAATCCTGTGGCATTTGTGGGATAGATACTGTGCGGATCCGGATGGACGATGAAGTAGTTCATGAATTGAAGGAGATGAGATTTGTTCCTCAGCTGAAGAAGAATCTTATCTCAGTTGGAGTTTTGGAGACAAAAAGATTCAAGGTGACCTTTGAAGACGTTGTAGCAAAGGTTACCAAGGGATCTTTGGTGGTGATGAAGGGAGCCCGCAGTCGAAACTTGTATTATTTGAAGGGGAGTACCGAAATTGACCAGGTTGCTTCAGCTATTTCAGATGCGGACATGAGCAGACTTTGATATCATATGTTGGGGCACACAGGAGAGAAGTCACTGCAGTTTTTGTGCAAGCAGGGACTATTGAAGGGAGCCAAGAAGACGAAGGTGAAGTTCGGGACGGTCATTCATAGGACGAGGGGCATCCTGGACTACGTGCACACAGACGTTTAGGGTCCCATCAAGACTGCATCACTTGGTGATCGACATTAGTTCGTCACGTTCATTGATGACTATTTTAGACGATGTTGGGTGTAAACCATGACGAAGAAGAGTGAAGTCCTAGATTTATTTGTGGAGTGGAAGAAGAGATTGAAACTGCAGACTGGGAGAAAGATCAAGACGTTGCGATCCGACAACGGTGGTAAATATACTTCAGACCCCTTTCTACAGCTATGTCGAGCCGAGGGCATAGAGAGGCACTTCACGGTTAGTCATACACCGCAACAGAATAGGGTGACAGAGAGGCTAAATCGGTCTTTGCTGGAGAAGGTCCGATGTTTATTATCACAGAATAATTTGGAGAAGAAATTTTGGACTGAGGCACTTACATATGCAAGCCACCTTATTAGTAGGCTGTCTTCATCTGCGATTGAGGGGAAGACCTCTATGGAGATGTGGTCGGGAGAGCCAGCACACGATAATGACCAGTTCAAGGTATTCGGGTGCCCTGCATTTTATCATGTAAGAACAGATAAATTAGAATATCGAGCTAGGAAGGTCATATTTGTAGGATTCAAGCGTGATGTTAAAGGATACAAGCTATGGGATCCAGTTGATAGGAAGATTGTGCTGAGTAGGGATGTCACATTCGATTAGGCTTCTATCTTAAAGCTTCACAGCTCTCATCAGGTGGAGAACGACCCAACAGAGGAGATATCGCAGGTGGTGGAGATCGATACAGCTCCACAGTATCCAGATGATGCAGTATCCATTAGAATACCGACTGAGGTAACGCCAGGCGAGCACGACGGTGACACGGAGAATACGGGTACTAATGTGTAGGATCAAGGACCGACGGCTCAGGTTTAGGATTCTATTACGGTTCGGAGATAGATGAGAAACATACGGATGCCAACACGGTATGCTGACACTGTTGCGTATGCACTTCCGGTAGAGAGTTATCAATGAGATGGTGTCTACTACATTCAGAGAGGTCGAGCAGAGTTCGGAGGCTGATTCGTAGCAGGTAGCTATGCAGGAGGAGATAGAGTCTCTTCATAAGAATGATACGTGGGAGCTTGTTGAGCTTCCAAATGGGTGGAAAGCAATTGGTTGTAAATGGGTATACACAAAGAAGGAGGGCATTGATGGTACTCCATTAAGGTTCAAAGCTAGGTTGGTTGCGAAGGGCTATGCACAGGAGAAAGGTATTGACTATAATGAGGTTCTCTCCGGTGATGAAATACTCTTCGATTCGGATTTTGCTAGCTTTGGTGGAATAATATGGTTTGGAGTTAGATCAGTTGGATGTGAAGACGATATTTCTTCATGATGATCTTGATGAAGAAATATATATGACTCAGCCATTGGGATTCCGAACTGCAGGGAAAGAAAAATTAGTTTGCAGATTGAAGAAATCGATAAACGGTTTGAAGCAGTCTCCTCGACAATGGTATAGGTGATTCGATGGTTTTATGATTGGTCATTCGTACACACGGTTTGAAGCAGTCTCCTCGACAATGGTATAGGTGATTCGATGGTTTTATGATTGGTCATTCGTACACTCGGAGCCAGTTTGATCCTTGCGTATGTTTTATGATTGGTCATTCGTACACTCGGAGCCAGTTTGATCCTTGCGTATATTTTCGTAAGTTAAAAGAAGGTGCGTACATCTATTTGTTACTTTATACCGATGACATGTTAGTTGTCTCTATTTCCAGATCTGCTATAAATGAGTTGAAGGCACAGCTTTCAAAGGAGTTTGAAATGAATGATTTGGGTGAGGCGAAGCGTATTTTAGGAATGGAGATCGACAGAGACAAGAAGAAAGACAGAATTTGTTTGACACAGGTGGCTTATTTGAAGAAGGTTCTACAGCGATTTCATGTTAGCATGGATACAAAGCCAGTTAGTGTACCATTAGGAGCCCATTTGAAGCTTTCAGGTGATCTTTCACCGAAGACAGTTAAAGATCGAGAGTTGATGTCGAAGACTCCATATGCGAGCGTGATTGGGAGCTTGATGTATGTGATGGTATGTACGAGACCAGATTTATCACAGACGGTGAGCATGGTATCGAGATACATGCACGATCCAAGAGTGTATCATTGGAACGTCGTGAGATAGATTTTGAGGTACATTCGCGGTACGCTCAATGTTGGTTTGGTTTATGAGGGGACACTACAGATGGACAGTTATGCATTGGCTATGTTGATTCGGATTATGCCGGAGATTTGGATAAGCGTCGGTCTACGACGGGGTATGTGTTTACTTTGACCCGTACGCCGGTGTGTTGGAGATGCACCTTATAGTCTACGGTGGCTTTGTCTACGACGGAGGCAGAGTATATGGCAATTACGGAGGCTGTGAAGGAGGCTATTTGGCTTCGAGGAATTTTGGAGGAACTTGGTATATCGTAGCGGTCCATCACTATTCATTGTGATAGCATGAGTGCTATCTATTTGGCGAAGAATCAGGTTTTTTATGCGCGAACGAAGCACATTGACGTTCGTTATCACTTCGTTCGGGATGTTCTTAAAGATGGTGATGTGGAACTTATAAAGGATCACACGAAGGATAATCCGACGGATATGCTCACTAAGGTGGTTCCGAGCAACAAGTTTGATCATTGTCGAGACTTGTTACACATTCGTGATTGTTGAGGCCGTTGGCGGCCATTTGGGTGAACTACGTTCGGCTTGATCCCTTGGGCAAGAGGATATGTAGGCAGTCATGTTTGATGCAGCCGGTTTGTAGTAGTTGATTTTGATGGATGTGAGATTGTTTGGACTCTCGTTCGGATTCCTGACTTGTTGTGGATTGAGTCCGTTGTCGTGAATTAACTTCACGGCGTACTGGACACAACAAGTGTTATAAAGGATCACACGAAGGATAATCCGACGGATATGCTCACTAAGGTGGTTCCGAGCAACAAGTTTGATCATTGTCGAGACTTGTTACACATTCGTGATTGTTGAGGCCGTTGGCGGCCATTTGGGTGAACTACGTTCGGCTTGATCCCTTGGGCAAGAGGATATGTAGGCAGTCATGTTTGATGCAGCCGGTTTGTAGTAGTTGATTTTGATGGATGTGAGATTGTTTGGACTCTCGTTCGGATTCCTGACTTGTTGTGGATTGAGTCCGTTGTCGTGAATTAACTTCACGGCGTACTGGACACAACAAGTGGGACATTTGGATGCGTTGGTGTCGGCTCAGTTTTGAAAAAACTTCACCGGGGTGGAGAATTGTGAACAGGAGACGTGTGGGCCCACCTACGTAAACGCGTTCGTGAACGCGTTATTCGAAGACGTCGGGGCCCACCCACGTGAACGCGTTCGTGTACGCGTTATTCGTGAACGCGTTTGAGCCCGACGCGTTTTCTCGCTATAAATAGTTTTTTTTTTATTTCTAGGTTTTTTGGTACACGGAGGTTTGTTTTTTAATTGCGGCTGCAGTGTGCAAGGCAGAGGTAAAATTTGCGGCTGCGGGAGAAAAATTGGTGAAGTGGGCGGTTGCGGGAGAAAAGAGTTCTTTGGGTTCTGCCTGCGTGCAGAGAAGTAAAAGGGTATTTATTAGTGGCTGTCCTTTTGAGAAAGGAATTGAGAGATAGTTTGAGGGTTTTATTTGTGAGATCTTGTGTGATTGTAAACCTTATTTGTATTCTCTTTCTCTCTAGTAGTAGATCTTCCCCCTCCTTGCCCTGTGGACGTAGGCAATTTGTCGAACCACGTAAAATTGGTTGTCTCGCTGTTTGTGTGATTTGTAATAGCTTATTTAAGTTCCCTCGACAGGTCAGTCCTAGAACTGATGAGAGGAAGAGCCGATATCCTACTTTGTTGAGATATTTTGCTTAAGGTTCTTGTTTCCTTGGTGAAACAGGAATTCCTATTGTGACCTGACTCTTTTGTTGTGCTGCCGAAATTTCCGCTACGCGCAACAACATCATCCTCTATAAATTATGTAGACTAAGTAAGTTTCAAGTCCGCAATCAGCTGAAGGAACCATGATACTTGGGTTTCCTGTTGGCAATGGCAACCAAAGCTAACAGAGACCCCCAACCTGTGTATTTATCCAATCTTTCTGATGAACTGCAATTAGATAATTCATAGGAGTTAATATGTGCGGGTAGTAGTTGGCTGACTTAGCAAAAGAAATTGATCACCACCTATTCGACAATGAAGGATCCTTTCCTACAGCTGGAACTGATCAACTCCAAGTGATTCATGCTTTCCTCAATCCATGATCTATTAGAAAAGAGTTCTTTAGAAAATCATCTGACTGGATTTCTTGTTAGATAAATTTATGTGACTAGAATTTTGTACCTTTCCTCAATTCAAAAAAATCTATTATAAGAGAGTTCTTTGGAAGATTATCTGACTACATTTCTTGCTAGCTAGCTTTCTATGACTAATTTGCCACGTTTCAAATTGAACTAAATCTGATTCAAATCCTACACTAGCCGTATCATCAAACATGGGTTAATATATAAAAACCCTTCGGAGCTTCTCTATTTAACAGTGTGATAAGAAAATATCAGTCCTAACAGTGAACAGTGTTGCTCACTCATGAATTATTATAGTTAGATCATTGACCTTCAACTAGATCATTGACCTTCAACGTATAATCCAGTTAGATGTACCGTCCAGCTATTGTATTAAACAGAAATGACATCTTGATATGATAGGATTCTTTCATAGTCATTTTCAAAGTACAAAATATACTACTACATCCCATTAGGCTACGGCGTCATTACCCAAGTTTCTTTCTATTAAGATCGGTCGCCATAAAAATTCAACATTGAGAGAATGCAACTGCTACAAGCTACCATCCTAATATCAACCTTTCATGAGTTTTGGAATATTGATGGGAAAGTAGGAAATTAATTCTAATATGAATGTTACACTAAAACCTTATATGGAAACATGTGGTTAACGTCATCACACACCTTTGCCTTCCATCACACCACATAATGAACAGTATAGCTTTGTGATAAAGTGGATTTGGACGGAAGGATCGAGCAGATTATTATATAAAAATAATCATATTAAAGGTAAATTGCACTTAGATACCATATAGTTTCCCATTTGTTGCACTTAAATACCAGAAGTTGTATTTCGGCGCAAAAAAAATACCATAAAGTTTTCAAATTTACACATTACTACCATCGATCATACAAATGTGGAAATTTTCACCCGAATGTTTCTATATAATACTTTTTAAAGCTTTTTAACTACTAATATTTGTTAAATTTGCTATTCAATCACTCAAATTTCTTTTTCAAAGTAGTCTTAATTCAACTTTAAAATAGAGTTTAGATATTTCTAATAAAAATTTAACAAATATTATCAGTTAAAAAGCACTAAAATTAGTATGTAACAATGTTGAAAATAGCGATAACGCATAGTGTAACGCTCACCTCCGGTTAACGTAAAACGCAAAATAGCGTAAATATTAACGTAGTTTAAATAATTTATTATTATTTAAATATTTTATAGATAAATAATATTCAAAATCAAATAATATGAATAATCATCACAGTTTTTGAACATATCATAATAAAAATACTATCACAAATCAATATATCATAACAATTTCACAACAAAATCAACCATGTATGCCTTAACAATCATTCCAGAAGCATAGTCGTTAAAAAAATATACATCATACATTATCACAGTAAGTTCTAGTAGGTAATAGCACATCATAAATCTAAAAACATCTAATAGTAATCCAAGTTTTTATTACTTCTAAATCTGATTAATTAGAAAAAAAGTAATTAGTAATTCTTTGATCTCTTTTTAATGTTTTTCAGTGTAAAATTTGATTAATTTGAAAAATAACTCAATCACAGTCATCAAAATTCTTTTAAAAATTAATCCCAACCCTTGAATAATTTAACCTAAGCTATGGAGCGCTATGAAGATGCGTTACAAAGCATACGCAAAGGGTAAAATGGCGTACGTTATTTTGTTTCTACGCTATTTTCCAGCACTACATAGCGATAGGGTAGCGCTACGTTACGCTATGTGCTATTTTGCGCTACGTAACGCGTTATTTTGTACACTGGTATGTAAATATCACAGAGAAACATTCGCATGAAAATTTCCACGTTTGCATGATCAATGTTAGTAGCGTGCAAATTTTGAGAACTTTATGATTTTTTGGCACCAAAATACAGCTTGTGGTATTTAAGTGCAACAAGTGGGAAACTACATGATATTTAAGTGCAATTTACCCTAACGTTAAGTAATACAACAAATGGCATTCTCAAGTCTATACTGAGCATTATGGAAAATAATACGCCAACAGCTCTGCTGAAATTGATAACTGTAGTTGGACGTCTTGAGAGTAAAACCTGGAGGTGAAGGCCATATCATGGAAGCGGCAGACTTGGTAAGGAAATCTCAAATATCACTCCAACTCTTTTGCAAAATCTTTATTGTCAACAAATACCTACAAAAACAGATGAGAATTCAAAACATAAGACAGATCCCAGGACAACTAACCTGACAATAAACTTAAAGAAGTTCAGGTGCAGGAACCATACTGATTTCCAACCATCAGGATCCAAGCAGGCAGTGATCTTGGTATTGATTCCCGGCAAGGGACCTGGCTCACGAGTAATCTTCCCACCAAACAGCTTGATAGCTTCTGCAGTTCTGTAAACATCATCTGTGCCTATTGCAATCTGGTAAAAACCAAAATAAAGATGAAAATAATTTATGAATGCCCCCCTGTAACTACGCATAGAACCATGAAACCTGGAAATTTATTTACCTGGGCATAGGCATTTCCTTTGTCATATTCTTTTACGCCATAGTTATATGTCAACTCCAAAACTGTGTTTTGGTCTTCAGGACCATAGCCCATCATTGCTATCGTATACTGAAGTTGTTAAGAGATGTCAGTTATAAATGGGAGAGTTTACCAGAAAGAAGAGAAAACTGAAATCTTTCTAAGTATTACTTTAAATCAGCTATGCATGATTATTTAGCTCCCTCAATCCACAAATCATAACTAAGATGAAGCTAACACAGACAAAAGAGGAATCAAAGTAGAAAAGACGGAAGGTAAGAGAAAATAGGGGAAAACATGAAGCCTTGCCTAAATAAATTAGATCAGCCTAATAGACCCAAAATATATTATTATATTTAGCTTCTTCACCAATCAATAGATCCACATCTTTAAAAAAAATGAAAAACTTAAGCCATCAGACCCATTACAATCACCAACACGATTATCAGATACCATATCTTAGCAGCCCTCCTTTAGAAGCCTCAAAGTCATGACTAATCACCATCAGCTGTTTCGTTTATTGAGCCCAACAACCTATGTGATCATTGAAGCCACCTGATCATCTAATTTCAACCAACACTCCAATTTCCTATGATCTCAAAATCACTCGATAAAGAGAATCCAGTTCCTGTTGATTTCATTTTCTTATTCAAATTTAAATAAATGATTGTATGAGTATGATGAATTTGTACTTAAGAAAGTAAGTAATTATTAACAATACAAGATAAAGCTACACACATATTATAGCATGAGTTTTATGATGAACAATTATAATCGTACATGCGAAATCGACACATGTAAACTTATATAATCTTTTTTTCCATTTTAAACAGTTTATACCTCTCCTCCGTAATTGACTTTCAGGGATTGTACTCTTTAAATTTTATGTGTAAATTAGAAAATATGGCTGGGTGAACAAATGTACTTAGATTACAGTTAACAACAACTAAATACAAAATCATGTAAAACAAAAAGACGAATTAAAGGACAATTACCTTATACTCAGGATTATCTCTCTTGCGCAAAAGCTTCATACCAAAAGCCTGCAAATTTTAGGGCATGAACAGATTCAGAACTTTGTATCCAAACAGAAATTTTTAGGAAAGAAAATAGTGTACAGGAATAGATTCAGAGGTGGAAACATTCTGAGGACCTGAATTTCAAGTCATGATAACAAACCTTCTCATAGAAATTTATGGAATGATCAAGATCTCCCACTCGAAGCATTACTTGGCACAAAGGCTCTGGTGTAGAACTCCTTTCCAAGAGCTCAAACTTGTAACCATCAGGATCTTCAACAAAAGCAATTACAGTACTGCCACCTTTCACGGGACCTGGTTCCCTTGTAACCTTGCCCCCCTTGGCTTTTATAAGATCCACCATCTTGTAAACCTGTCATCAACATTAAAGAACTATAGAAAAACATATTTTGATAAAAGAAGATGCCAAGAAACCACAAGAAAGACAAACATCAGATACAATGCTTGTATGCATTTAAGTTTAACTGCTTCCACAGCTAAATTTTATTTAACTGTAACACATTCAAGTTATTTGCCAAGAGCGTCTTAAGGAGTAAAGTTATTAATTGGTTATTGCCAATATTAGATTGCATCCTTACTAGCATGTTTGAATATAAATGCTACGGTATCTTCAAGATTCAGCGTGTTAGACTGAGAATGTGCTTAGGCTGAAACTTGACTTCAGATTCACAGAAAGGAAACTGTCTTTGCTAATACTCTTGGGGAGTTCTATAAGCTCTGACATATAGATGGCATTTGCAGGATGTAATCAGATAATAGGAGACACACACTAACCTAAGCACTCAAAACGCAAAGAAAGTTACACGTGCTAGAGAAACTGAAATTCTCAAACCTATGGACAGTTAGCTAGATATCTTCAACTAAGCCTACTACTGCATGACTGATTAAAGCATAAAAGACATACTTGCAATGTATGCCTAAGAAGGGGTTATCAACCAACACCAGAGCTTCACAAATTGTTTAAAAGATAAGCATATCAATTTCCTCTTTTACCCATGTTACTTTACAGCACATGGATCAAAACATAATGCTATTATAAAAATACATTTTCCGAGTTTTTGATAAAAAATAAAAAATAACTGCAATAAAAGCAACATATTCCTATCTGAAGGAAAGAGCACTCACATCGTCAGTTGCAATACCAAAATGACCAAAACCAGATCCGATATCATACTTGTCAACCCCATAATCTGCAAGTTGTATCAAACATAATATTAATCAAATGCTTAAAGATAATAAATATCGAAAAGCTAAAGGTAATAATGGAAAATGACAATGCAAATGAACCACGTAGGGATTTGAATGAAAATGTCAGAAAGGCAGTTCAGGATCAATGCTGCAACAGCATTATGCAAATCAAACCAAGTAGCTTACTGTAAGTTAATTCCACAGCGAAATTCGAGTCTTCAGGCCCATATCCAAGGAAAGCATTTGAATATTTTTCCTCAGGTATATCTCGTTTTCGCAGCAACTTCATGCCCAAGCATTCTGTGTAGAATCTGAGTAAAATAAAGCTCAGAGCAAGTCAGGCTGCCAACGTAAGTAAGATACTTAAAGAAGCGAAATGAAATTATTGGAAAGAGGAAAGGGAGGGAGAAAATGAAAGAGAAAAGGAGGGAGGAAGGAGTACTTTATTGTTCTGTCCAAATCCCCAACACGATAAACAACATGAAGGAGCCTCCGCTTGTCATTGTTTGCCCATTCAATGGCACTATCTTGGGTAAGACTGGTGCTTGCTTGAATTATATTCCTGGTCCCGGTGGTCTCTGTGCTGTTACCATCTACTCTGTTTAAGTTAGAAGCTTTTCCTTGGAACAACTGTGCTTGAGGTATAGCTGCATAATAACATTCAAAACCTCAAGGAAGCTGCAAAAGGTTGGAAAATGATACCATAGATAACTTTTGACAGAATATAGATAATGATGATTGATGACCAAACAAAACCCAAAGCATTGAGTCAAGAAAGAGGAAGGCCATTGAATAAGGAAGAGATAACTTTCAAATCTGATGTTAAATGGATAAGCACTCTAAGGTGAAACTTAAAAAACCGTAGTTTATATGGACTTCTTTCTGCATCTGAGATTGCATGAACTAGAATTTCAGAAAATTCAGATTACTTGGATGCAGTGTTACAACTTAATTTCAACAAATTATTATTCTACAAGCCTGCCCCGTGGAAACAGCTGTCTAGAGTTCTACCTATATCTACTGATTTTATATTTCTTTATCTATAAAAAATAAATTCAGAATTAATCCATTCTATAGTCTTATCTAGAGGCTGATGTTGATTGAATAATTATCCAATAGTTTTTTTTTTTTTTTTTTTTTTTTTTTCTTT